AACGGCGAGAGCTTCTCCACCACCACCACCGTCACGGAAAACAGAGAAGACGAAGCCACGAGCAAGCGGAGCAAAGGAATTCGCAACCGGAAGCGTTCTTGCGCCGTCGACGGCAACAGAATCGGCGCCAGGGAACGGAGGACTCAATCTCCGGCGAGAAAACCCGAAATTCCGGCGAGGCCACGGCCGGTTCGCCGTAGGGAGCCCGACCATCCCCACCGACATTCCGGCGGAGCTCCCGTCCGGCGGTCAAGGCCGCTTTCGTGCGCTGACCGGAGTCAACTCCGGCCGACTGGAAGGGGCGGCCGGCGAGTTCCGGCGGCTAAGGGCGTTACGCAGGAAAACGACGGCGTTTCGGTGCAGGAGTCGCTGGAGAACCCGCATGTGTCGTTGGAGTGCTTTATTTTTCTGTAGTGTTTGGAAGTACGTTTCTTTTCTTTTCTTTCTTTCTTTGTTTCGAGATTTTTGGTTTTGTAGAAGCGATTTTCAGTGACATGGCATGTTTTCCATTTCCATGTTCTTGATTTTCCTTGTGAGGTATGTTGCTTGCTAAAATGCTTCTGTAAATACGAACATCTCCATAGATGTTTCTCTTTTCATTCTTTGTTTTTTTTTTTTTGTTAATTCCTTGCTTTGTTTCTTATCCAATACAGCTATGTTGAATTTGTATGGGATCACCTAAAAACCTATTTTGGTCCCTTATAATAATTGTTAGTTTTATTTTTATTTTCGATTTTAATTTGGTCTCAAATTAATTAATTGGTTTCAATTAAGTTCCTAATAAATTAATTGGTTTCAATGTGGGACTTCCGTCCAAATTTCTTTAACGTGTTAACTGTTGGCTAAGTGGATGTCACATAGATGCATAAGTGGATAACACGTGGATGTTAATTTTTTTGAAAATACCTGGAACTAGAATGGCCCGTTCTGAAACTAGAATGGCCCGTTCTGAAAGCAGAACGGGCCGTTCTAGATGCACTCTTGGTGTGAAAATTAAATGGTTCACTCACGATGAACCTTGTATACATCGTTAGATCTTTAGATAAATAAACAAACGTATGACTTCGATAAATTATCAGTTATGAGTGTTATTTGTATTTAATTTTTATGTTTTGAATAGTCTTTTAAATAAATTTATAAGTTGTGATTGTTTAAAAAGAAAAGAAAAACGTGTTTTATGGAAGATGTTTCCAAGAAACTCCATGGTTATGTGGGAAGAAAAAATTGAAGGGTAACATGCATCTGAGAGTCCACGAGGAATTAGCAAGGTTTCATTTACACCTTCCATTGTTAATTGTTATTGTGCTAGCATATAGTTGTAGTGAAAGCAAGCAGAAGTTGATAATAAGCAAAATTAAAATTATTAGAAAGCAACAACAATAGTTAGAGATCAATCTCTGTTTGGTATCAAGTATCAACAATTATGAGCATTCCAGTATATCTACATATATAGATATTTTATGGTGTAGAATATGCAGTAAAAAGTGAATGAAAATGGTCCTGGAAATTGGGCATGTTCTGTTCTTTAGTACTTTATGGGGAAGGGGAAGACTTTTTGTTTATTGGTGTTCGTGTGGATTGTCTTCTTTTCTATGCAAGCGTGTACTGCCACAACCCTAAGCGTGCCAAAAAGTCCACAATAGGACGCAAACTCTAAATATTTTTTTTTTTAAATCTTTTCTCGAATATTTTACTGATTTGATTGTTAATAATTATTTTTTATTTTTTACTCATTTTATTTCCTTTTGAAAAGGTACCAATTATACCAATATGGCCGAATAGCACGCGGCCCAATACTCACTGCAGGATTAGTGCGTTGGGCTTATTTTGGGTCAAATTTAATCTAATTGGGATAAGTAGTAGAGTTAGATACGGCGAAATCAATCAATTTTATTAAACCCAAACATTTTTTTTAAAAGAATACGTAAAATTTTAAACTTTTTATACTCAGTTCGATTCTAACATATTTTAAAAAATCCTGTAAACTTTACCTATTTTGTAAATAACTATCTTAAATTTCAATTTTATCTTAGTTTTTAAACTTTTTTTGTTTACAAGAAAGTTAAATTTAAGGATCATTTTGAAATAAATTTAAATTTAGAGTGTCGATTTTAAAAAAATAGATAAGTTAACTACTATTTTCTCTTATTTTTCTAAAAAAAAAACATTTTCCATATTGTTATTATTTTTGTTTTCAGTTTTACATAAGCTAAAAGACACTTAAATATTATTTGATTTTCCTTTTTAAAAATATATCTTATAAAAAAAAATAAGTAAAAAGTAAATATGTCATATAACTTTAAGTTAATTTGGTTGAGTTTAATTAGTTGAGAAATTTTTTTAAATTGACTCAATCCGACCTAATCTTAATTAATAAGTTCAAGTAGAAATATGTTAAAGCTCAACTAATGCACAATCTTATTGATTCGTAGTCGAAATAATGATATTAAGAATAATTTCAATAGTGATAATTAGATTAAATTTTTTTTTTTAGAAAACAACACTTAATGTATAAATTAAGGGGAGGTAATTCTCAAGTTATAAATTATTTTTTTAATCATATATTAAATTATGATGATAATTTATAACAATACACATATATCATATAAAAATAATTATAAATCTTGTAGAGATATTTACCCCTACCTATAGTAAATCTTTAGGTATGTTTAAACGTAATTTAGATGCTACCTTATTCCAGTCAAATCGTAGGCTTGTTGTTAGAATATGCATCACAGACCATGAGAGTTCTTATATAAAATCAAGAACACAAACATTTTTTATGCTACCAAATCCACACGAGTGTGAGGCTATTACGCTTTATGGATCTCTATTATGGCTTAAAAGCATCGGTTTGGAAGCGATTATTTAGGAACCCGATTACCAACATGTAGTTTTTGTTATTAACAAACCTCAAAATGATGATAACTACTAACGTGTTTAAAATCACACCAATTATTGAATTGGTTAAGATACTTATTTACAATTTAAAATTTAATTATGATCACAAATATATTAATATAATAATAACAACTATAAATAATTAAACATTAAATGATAAAATATATTTTAAGCATTAAAAACTAACATTATGTTCTTAAGTACAATTAAAAGAATGCACCAAATTTTTTTTGGATGAATGTGCCTAAAGAAAAGTACATTAGTTTGAATTTTAATAAAATACAATTATGTCCATTAACGGTAACAAATTTACATTTAAGATAAAAAATGATAATTTAATATAATAAAATTATAAAATATCAACATATAAAAATTATAAATTATTAAAAATGAGTGGATTATATTTTATAAAATATTAATAATAATTTATTCCTATTTGTAATCATTGCTAAATGTGTTTTTGTTTTATCTTTAAAAATATTTAAGTTAATTTTAAAATAAGAAGAAAAAAAATTAATCAGATTCAACCTATTTCGTTAATTTTTTGAACTGATTTGATCAGTTCTTAAAATACTCTAATTTCTTTAGTTAATAGATTGGTCATTATATCGATTTTCAATTGATTATATTTTTAAATTTATGATAACAATAATCATGATAATAATTATGATAATGATAATAATTTTAAACAATGATATTTAAGAAAGTAATATGTGATTCTAATAGGAGAAAAATGCAATTGAGTGATTTATTCTTTTATCAATATAAGTTATAATAATGAAAATAAAATTTGAATGTAAGATCTTGTTCATACCATTGAAATAGTTTTTTTTTCTTTCACAAATACTAAATTTTTTTACATGTTTTATATTCTTATTTTATGCATACAACAATAATAAAAACCAATCCTTTTATTTTTTTATTACAGTTTAATTATAAAAGAAATGACACTTTTGACCAACTAAAATTCATTAAAAAAATGTTTTTAATTGATTATTTTAAAGATCAACAATTTTATTGTATATAATATTTATAATTAATTATAATATCAAAATTTTTTAAACTAATATAATGATTGATTATTATTGAGAGATTAAAAGATGTCATTTATCTTTTTTTATTTATTTATTTATTTTTTTATTTTTTTATTTTTTTATCATCGTGACTCAGCTATTCAAATGAAATGAGGTCAAAAGGCTATAATCGTGTCCATGGATAACAACACACGAGAGAGAAATAACCCAAGTCAGGCCCAATAAGCATGGGTTAGTGAATGATAAAAGAGTTAAGTTCATTATATATACACTTTTTTCTTCTTCTCTCTCTTTTTAAGTACACCTCTTTTTTTTTTTAAATAATTAAATGCTTAAGATATTCTTAATTTTTATAATTTTTAATTTTTAATTTTACACTTCTAATATTTAATTTAGTATTTTTTTTCAATTTTTACATGTACTCTCTTATTTTTTTTTTCACTCCCACTTATTTTAGTAGGCTTAATTCTGTCATTTTTACACTACTCTCTCCCCCTCCTCTTTTAGTTTTTTAATTATTGTCTTCTTCTTTTCATCTCTTAGTTTTTACACGCACTCAGGATGTAGAATTAGTTTTCAATAACATTATAGGTGCATGTGACTTTCTTGACAATATTGAAAGTATCGAGTCAAATGTATATTTTTTCTTTAAACACTTTCCCTATTTACACGTCTAGAAAATGCAATATCAAATTATTTTAGTATTCCAAAAGTACTTTATTGAATAGTAAAATTAGTGTCATTGAAAACATTTTTCGAAATCGAGATACTTTCAAAAAGCACTTTATGGAACAATAAATTTAGTGTTCTAGCTGGAAAGTACTTTTCGGAACATTAGTTTTTACTATTATGAAAAATATTTTTTAAAAGTGTGTTATTTTACATAATTTCAAAAAGTTATTTCCGGAATAGTAAATTTAGTGTTCAAAAAGTATTTTTTGAAGTGTGTTATTTTACATACTTCCGAGAAGTATTTTCTAGAACACTAAATTTAGTGTTCTGGAAAGTATTTTTTGAAAGTATGTAAATAATACAATTTTGAAAAGTACTTTCTGGAACACTAATTTCATTACCTTGAAAAGTATTATGGAATAGTGAAACTAGTGTTATGAAATGTTCTTTTCATAACACAATTTAATTTTAAGATTTTTAAAGGTGTGAAAGGAGAGGAAATGTTAGAAGAAAAAAATGTGCGTCTAATTCAGTAGAAACTATTTAGGATTTTGCTTGTACTTACAATGTTGTCACGTGCCAATTTTACGGTCTGAATGCATGTGAAAAAGTGAAAGAGGTGGGGGAAGAAGACAATAATGTAAAAGTTGAGAGAAGTAAAATTACCTTTTGAAATAGGTAAAAAATTGAAGAAATATAAAATGATGCATGTGAAAACTGAAAAATAGAAAAAAGGAGATGTGTGGAAAAGAATAAGAAAATGATAAATTGAAAGTTGGATGTATAAGATTAAAAAATTAAAAAATTAAAAAGTTATAAATATTTTATTGTTTTTATAAATAAAACTTATAAAAAGAAGAAGATAAAAAAGAGAAAGATGTATATATCATGAGCGAAACAGTTATTATCTCTGATTTTGTCAATTTAGTCCATAAGCAAGGCCTAATGGCCTGGACCAAACAAATTTTGATATATTTTTTTTAATACTTGCT